GGCGGCGCGTGGGCAGCAGGGTGGGGACCACAGTCAGTTCTAGAGTGATCTCCTAGTCCTCACGAGCGCATAGGATTTCGCGGATCTTAATTCGGATAACGTTTGAACCCCGAACGGATCTCGCCTAGTATGCGATTTCCGGGTTCTATACGTTTGAACCGTTGGATCGTAGTCAATTTCAAGTATGTTGATCTAGGTATTTCCAAGATCGAATAGTATTTGACGGATCGTAAAACAGAGTCCCGGATACTCCAGAAATGTCAGCCCTAGAGTATGTTTTACGGATAATTAAACCAGTTACAAAATAACGAACTAGTTGCAGGTCAAGAACAGAGGAAAGAACTACGTGTGGCTTGATCCCTCAGTAAGGGTACGTAGGCAGCCTACCGTTACCAGGCGCAGCCACGAGTTAGGGCCTTAGGGTTTGTGTTATTGTTTTTCAGGGCCTTTTGATCATTTACGACCTACAGTTACCAGGTGTCAGTTTTAAACAGGATTCGGCCCAGATTTCAAAGTGGAAATTGGGTCGGGTCGTTTCAAGTCATGTGACTTAAGACCAACTAGTTTCAACTCTTTCACGCATACAAGGTTTCTTATGTTCGAAGAGTAACCTTCACTACAAGAAAAAAAGGTTAATGTGACCAAATAAAAAGTGAGGCTTGTAAATTCGTCACATATAATGGGTATTTGTGATGAATTTATCAAGTCATCACTCATAAGACAACAAAGACCTTTGGAATTTTGGAGGAAGGCCAAATCCCTCACAAATAGTCTGGCGATTTTGGGCAGCAGAGACCAACAATTATTTGTGAGGCTTGTGGGGTCACATATAATATTTTAAGGCGTCACAAATTTTTAGTGCGGGAATATCTATCCAAAAAATGAAAAATAAAAAGGAATGAGCGGAAAAGTTTCCCGCCCCAAAATAAAATTATATTTTAGGGTTCAATTATCTTCACATATTCGCACATGTGAGGACCTGGTCTCACTTTTTCACATAAATATTAATCAAAATTACAACTATTCATTCATCTCCCTTTGTTTATTCGCTCTTTACTCGCTCTGCAACCAAAACTCATAGCCTTCTGGGTTTCTCAAAACATCGGCCGACGCGATTGATTCTGTATCATCGTCGGCTACTTCTCTGATGACGGCTACTTCTCTGATGACCATTATTGCTCCAGCGACAACTACCACTTCAACGAAAAAGTTCTCATTCCTAATTCCTCAATGCACCACAATATCTCTATCTTCTTAATCCTAATATAGGTATCATATTTGTAATTTTTTTTATCTCTTTGCTTCAAATTTTATTTTTTTTTGGTCGAATCTCTTTGCTTTAGTTCTGGATAAGTTGAATGTTTTGGTGAATTTCTGCATGTTTAAGATTTAGGATTTATAGAATCATTCTGTAATTGTTGATTGGTTTATTTGTGAAATTTAATGTTAAAGAAATCTCTTCATGCATAATTTGATTTATTGGGTTTTTATGCACTGTTGTTAATTTGCTTTATTATCTGTGCTTTTCAAAAATAAGAATATGAATCGGTGTTTACTTTTCAAAAATCTCATTCTTAGAGTTCTAATTGGAGTTGTGCTTTAGGATGAGATTGGGATGTAATAGGAAGTTTTATTGTTACTTTTCCTTTTATTTTTATTTTTTATTAACTTTACTACTTTTTGTGTGCTTGCTGAGGCAATTATAGAAGAATATAATATATCTAATCAATATGCTTCCTATCGTTGGCTACCTAAAAGATCAATTATGAGCTAAGCCCTTTTGGATATCATAAAAAACATGAAAACCCATCATGTTGTTTGAAAGATTTGTTTCTACATAACAAATTTGGAACATGTTTATTATCTAATTACTAGTGCTTACTTTTTTCTTTTCGCAGGTTGTTTTTGTTCTTGCTGCTGCTTTTTTGCTGGGAGCAAGTTTATTAGAAATAATTTGCAGAGAGGTGAATTCCCCTGTCATTTCTCATAGTCATTAACTTTTCTTATTTAAGTTTGTGTATATTTTTGCTTCTATATAGTGGTTATAAATACGAGTTTTAAATGAATAGGCAGTGGATTGCCAAATGTTGTGATCGAGGAAACGATCCAAATTATAAGAAAGGGATTGAATCCTTCATTGATGTTGCAAGACACCATGTGAATACTAGTGGTGAGATATTATGACCATGTAGGCATTGCCATAATTCATTTTGGCACCCTATTGATATGGTTCACTTCCATTTGTTGCAATATGG